TTTCCCCGGCGCTCAGGGCCTCCTTCCCCCAATGCACAGCAGAAAACCGGGGTGTGAGAATAAACAGCTCCGTTTTTTCCTTAACACACACCCCACACACACACCCCGCCGCTACGGTTTTTTTTCCTTTTTTTTCCCCCTCATTTTTCATCCCAGGCCTCTCCCGACGCACGCTAGGCCGCAGGCCCTATAGAGCACGATTAGGCCTGCCTGGAGGGTCTGCCCCACACCACAGCCTGGGCCTTGTTTCCCCCCCTTCCCCAGGACTTCCCCCCGCCCTTCCTCTGCTCCTGCCGTTCAGACAAGGGCGGGTGTGCTCCACACAAAGCAACCTGTGGTAAACAGGGACGCTGGGGGGAAATGGCTCCTGGCTCCTTGACCTTGGCTAGGAAGCTGGCCCCGGCAGCAGCTGGGGACAGCATCTTGGCCAGCGTGTCTGCTGGCGGTTTCGCAGGTCTCAGGGGAGAAGAGCCAGCCCGCCTGGCTCTTGGCAGGGCTGGAGGCTGACCTAAAGAAATTGGCAAGTGCTTGTGTAAGGCAAATCTCTCGGTGATCAGCACAGTACTACCTCTTCTTGGCAGTGAAACCTCATGGTGTTGGCACTTCCTAGCCCAGGCTAAGGAAGCCTTTCCAGAAAAACAAAGCGCATAAAAAATTAATGTTGAACTACTAAAGGGGTTCAAAGGAAATATTAAAATAATGTGTATAGTAGTAATGGAAACACTACCTCAAGAGAGTCTGTGTAGGTAAACAAAAATTGCAAAATCTGTAATACTGGATTCTATAAATCCTGGCAAGATGTACTTCTGAATGTATAGTGAAGTCAGTGCGATCCTTAGAGCTCATCTGCTTTTTTTGTGGTTCGCTAGAAGTTCACATTTTACGAAATGAGTACTGGATAGCTCAGGGTGTTGCTAATGGGATGTAGTCAGAGCTTTCACCTTTTGGAACATGGGGCAATCTGGTCCAGGTCAGCAGTGACAGAAATCCAGTGCTGCAATGCTCTTTGGGGACAGCTGAGGTTAGCTGGGTGGTGGTTCCAATCCAATCCTATTTGACAAAGATTTTTATTAGGTTTATTAGGCCAAAGAGTAAATTGCAAAAGTAACTATACTTGCTACTGGATATGGTCCTCCTAGATCAACATTGAGACACGCTAACGAGCAAACACACATCAGTTTGCAAACCTGACTGGCATTTTTCCTGCGAGCTGAAATTTATTAGAATATATCAGATTTAGTTCAAATAGTTGGATAGGCTTTAATGTGAAATGTTAGTGCAGTTTGGCTCTGAAAACTTGAATCATTATAAAGCGAACATTCTTTGACACAGTTTCTGTGTGTGTATTCAGGAACAATTCTATCTTCTTTGCTGATGTTAAAGAATGTTTTATTGCAAGGAGCAATACAGAAACATGGCAGTAAAAGAGGAAGCTGAATTCTCCTGCCAGCTGGCCATTATTTAAAGAATTCCCAGTTCAGTGCCAGTGATCAAAAACTTACAGATTCTGGGCTCAGTTTGTAGAAAATATAATTCTGAAAGCCACTGAATTTTACCTAGAAATCAGAGACGATCATAAAGCTGTAGGAAGTAGATTTTATAAAGTCCCTTTCCAGAGCAAAAACCTTGCTTGTCTCATGTTGCAGTATGATGCCTCATTTTTCAGTCCTCCACCAAAACTACTATATCATTATGCCTAGAAAAGGCAGAAGTGTATTGTAGACTTATTTTTAATTTTCTGGCCAAAAAATGCTTATGTTGACTTGTTTTCATCGTTGGAATGATTTTTTTTTTAAATTATTTTTAGGATTTACTAGGTTTTAAAAATTTATTTAAATGTATATACTATATTAAAGCCATATTCTCTGTCTCCAGCTGTCTCTGAAGAAACTCTAAAGCTTCTTAGATAATTTATTTATAAAATGAGGAAATCATACTTGACTGTCATCTAAAGGAAAGTTTCTTGGTCAACACTACACAGGAAAGTATACTGAAAGCACTTGTGGAGATGAGAACTTTGGATTCTTAGCACAGTGTATCTTCTGCATAGACAGCATGGTAGAATATTTTCCATTCATATATTTTTGTGTGTGTGTATATATATATCTATGTCATTATTTCTTGATGCTGGATAACTACTTCAGATGAAACACATAAAAACATGAAAAATCTCAAATGTTTAAAAACTGTAATTAAATTTTTCAACTAGTTATACATGGCTCCTTCACTTACAGTAATACCACTTATGCTTGAATTACCTAACCAAATTTAATCAAGATGTCAAAGATCTACCAAAACTCAGTTTAAAAAAAAAAGGATCACAAAGTGAGATCACAAAAGAGTAATTTGCTCTTCAAAAGATAGATTTCCAATACACCTTGAATGTGCTACTTAATTGTTTTCTGCAAAATCACTACATTTTGCTTTTCTTTGCCAAGAATTATCAGAATCATAGGCATGGAAGACCAGTTTCTCGGTCCAAGAAGAAATCAATGGCCATCAAATGCTTTCTATTATTGTTACTTTATATATACAAATCCTTTTCTTCCAGCGGGCATAGTAGCAAATAATACAAATAGCTATTTTTCTAGCAGACAACCCAAGAATGACATCAATGCACACAGTGCACTGAAGCAGTGGTTTGGATCTGTGTATCTGAAAGCTTTGGAACCAAATTCAGTTCCTGATGCTTAATGCCTCTTTCTTGCTTAAAACCCCTTTGGTAATGTGGTTTCTCCCAGATGACACTGTGAAGACCAGTGGTCTGGCCACTCCTCGCCAACGAGGTGCATGCAGAGGCGAATTTCCTGGAGGCTAAGGGTGCTCCGTTTCACACGATACTGTGCACGGCATGTTCGTAATTCTGTTTTAGCTGACTGTACGCTGTGACTCTTGTTCAGAGCACTTGCATCAGTAACCACTAGCAACCAAGCCACTGGTATCCTTTGACATTAAACCGTAGTTACGAGATGCTATAGTTAGTATACTAAAAAAAGGTACTTGCAAATCCATCGAAGATCACAATAACTCTACCCCTTATTTTCCTAGGACATAGTTAAAGCAGATCTCTAAATCTGACACTCGCATTATTACTGTTACTGAGCCAACCAGCGCTTTCATTCTTCACGCACCCATAAATGGCCTTACTTCCTACACCACTACCACCACGAAATACTCAATTTTAGAGTATCTGAATCCTTCGTAAATACATCCTCCTGAAGCCTGGGATGGACAGGGCTTCTAACCCTGTGCAAAAGCCAGACTGTTGTAAAAGCTCCGTTTGCAGCAGTCCTTTCTTTGCGGCAGCGCTTTCCCATCGTGGCAAGTGTCTGTGCAGCACAGCCGCGCAGCATGCTAGATCCTGAGGGCACTGTGGAGCACAAGCCTTCCTCTTCTCTCCCTAAAGTTTTCCTCATCCCTCTAGCCATGCTCCTTGCAATTGCAGCACTCCTGCTCTTAGCGTTTTCCGCTACGCAGCAGAAAGAGCCTGATTTTTACACTTTCAAAGTTGTAAACATCAGGGGCAAACTAGTCTCTCTGGAGAAATACAGGGGCTCGGTAAGTCTGCACGGAGACGGGCAGCTCTCACCCTGACTCACTAACCAGCCGGTCCTTGCATGTCTGCAAAATCCAAGTGGGGGTGGAGAGATTGTACATTAACTTGGTGCACGGATGCAGCTAGATTTGGGTTTATGAGTCGTCTTTAACTGATCTGGAGCGTTGCCTGCATGGTCCCTTTAATACCGCTCCGTAGGTTCTTTGCAACTCTTTAAATAAAACGTTTGTAGTCTAACCTCTCTGTGCGTGTTGTCCGCGTCTTTTCCCTGTGCGGGCTGCTGCCTGTAGACGTGGCAGGCACATTCCCTGCCTTTCATTCATCAGGATGAATTGCACTGCGTTGTGGCTATTAAATTTAAAGCTCAGGAAGTTTCTACCTTTGTGTAACTTACTTTTGGAGCTTATTTCTGCCTTTTAACTGCATGACTTTTTAGTAAATTATTTTTGCCTAAATCCCATTCCATTTTAATGTTCTGCATTAAAAAAAACCCAAAAAGATTTAACCAATGGCTAATGGAGTTAACAGATTTCACCATAATTAGTAAAAAAGCGAGAGACATGATAAAGTAATTATTTTAATATCAATGTATAGTGAAACTGTAGCAACATCATGCTACTCCCCTTGTCCCTTTTTAATGTGACAGAGCAATATGAAGAAGGGCATGTAGTCACACATACACTTTTATGATGTTTTTAAATTTTAGTTTACATATTAAGGAGTTCTAGGCAGAGTTTTCCTTCCCCATTTTAAGAACAATTTCCTTGAATGTAACCTGATTTTTAATTTTTTTTAGTGGTTTGACCATCTAGGAAAGCTGGTCAGTACCTGTAGAAGAGTGAAAAGGGAAGTTAGCACACAGGGTGCATAATACTATAAACTCTTATAGCCACATTCACAAATTACAGAAGCTAAAATCAACATAAAGCCCACAACTGCTACCCCTCACACTCAAGTGACACATCTTATGTGATACAGCCAGGCAGTCCAACAGCTTCACTGCTGCCCAAAAAGGCAGGCATCCCTTCTCACTTTCACACTTATTCTCCAGGTGTGTTTTCCCCTCAGGCACTTCACTGAGGTGTCTGAGCTCACTAGACCACTGCAGCAGGTCACTAGAACATCAGCAAAAGGCAGAGAAGGCCCACCGGAGGAGATGTACATTTTCCTGAGCTCAGTAGATAGGGATACTGGTAGATTTGGACCAAATGGGAGGTCTGATTCTTATCTGGTCAAAGTCCTCCCCCCATTCACAATTCAGGTAGAGCAGAACTGGTCCAGTACACACTCAAGTATCTATATTGGAAAAAACATGGAACCTATTTAATATTAAGCAATATTTGCTTTTTTCTAGGAGTTCCTTCCAAAGGCTTTGTCAATAAATCCTGTTACTGGGGCATGTTTTATCTGCAGGTCATTTGCAAATCTGTCTGAATAAGCAAATAACCACCTGTAGCTTCTCTATGTCAGGGCCAGAATCCACGTGGATAGGAGTAAAGGGGGAACTGGGAGCAATTCCTTACAGCCACCCTGCAGAGAGCTGTTCATCCCCTCTGGCACAAGCTGCAGAGCCTGCCCTTGTATCTCATGAACACTCCAGTTTAGGGGTGTGTGTCTGTATCTCAGTGGTGCTCTGATACCAGGCTATCCTTGAGGCGTGACTGGTTTCATAAGGGAGAGCTTTAGAGCCATACCTGGGAATACGTAATTCCATCGGTGAATGGTGCTACTTGATCTCTGCAAGCCATACGGAATAGATGATTCCAAAAAACCAGCTTCTGTATGGAACAAAAAGATTTGCATTCAGAGACCCTATTAATGTTCAGGCTAGCTGCTGTTTGATAACACATGTTCACAATTTTAAATGAAATCATAGCAATAAAACACATCCCTTTCTGTTATTATGTTGTCAGAACTCAGTATCAAGGTAGACAAAGGTTAATTAAAACTCCCATTTATTTCTTAAAATAAACCTGCTTAAATCTGCAGTTAGATAGGTAATGTTAAGATGCAGGCTTATCATAATATTTTAAAGCTATTAAAACAAATAATATATAAGTACTATGTATGTGGTGCTGGTGTTTTAAAGAAAGTGAGTCACTAGTTAGCCCCTGGAACAATAGTCTGCTAATTGCTAAACCACCTTTTCACAGCCTTAAGCTTTCTGGCAGATGTAGAGAAAACATTTTCTCCAATTCAGTTACTCAACTATTTTAGTTAAATAACTACTTAATTTGTAGTTAAGAAACTAACTGGGAATTGAAAAGATCCAAAAGCTTCCAAAATATATATAAAAAGAAGTCTGCTAATTCTAAAAACACAAGAGTCACGCTAAGTAGTGATGCTAATCAGTGCAATTAATGACTTGCAGAATCTTTCTTCAATAACTCATTATTAATATAAATTTTTGTGTATTCAGATCATTGAGATATTTTTTCTTAGTAAAGAAAAAAGACTGATTGATATTATTTCATTTTCCATTCAAGTGCATCTTGATACAAAACACAAGTACCCTCCATTATATAGTAAGTAAGAAATGTACTAACAATTCTGAAATAACAAAAATGAAAGATATTAAGGAATAGATTTTTTTTTTTAAATAAATGTACACAGACACAACCTAACCTCCAATAAAATATCAAAAATATGTGAGGGAGTACTCCCTTTTTATGGCAGCATAAGAAATCATATTGCCAGAATGCTAAAACTTTGGCATACATGCTATAAAATCAAGTGTGACATTACATCGACCTGAAAGCAGATAAAGGGAGGACTATTACGACTGAAAAAAAGAGTAGCAGAAGTGAAATAGATCAAAAAGCTGTCTGTTCTACTGTGTTGCGCAAGAACGCCATCCTCCTGTGCTTTTTCCAGGCTACCATACTGATGTTGACCCATCTACATTAAAAACAAAGAGCAGTGATGTGTGGTTGGAAAAAAAAATAATCAACAGGACCCAAATAAGATTAGTTTTTCATCCAATCTCTCTACCTAAGTCAATAAAGGCTATATTTTATGATCTCTGTCAGATATGCTGTAAGAGGCAGTGTTCTTCCCAAAAATAGTATCTATTTGGGAGTCAGAACTCCCAAGCATCAGCTGTTCCCTGCTGTGTTTATACCTGTCTAGATATAATAGTACTTACCTACCTGCCTGCCTACCTACTTACCGCACAGCTAAGTACAGTGTGCTGACGTGTAATTAAGCAGTGTTAGTGCAGTGCTTTAGAAATCTTGAACCAAAGGTACTATAATAATATGAGAGCATTACACACTATAACAACGTAAAGTATTATTTTACTACTGGAAGTAATGCTAGACACTTTGCATCACTGCACTCAGCAACCTGAGAATGTAGCATTACTGAATGTGTATAAATACAGAGTATAGCTACTTAACTACTGTATAAAGTATTGCTATTTTTTCCATGAAGGTAACAACTCTTTGAGTTGTAATCTGACGCTTCTGGCTGGTTCTTCCATCAGTCAGATGGAGCCAGTTAATAAACTCCAGGTCTAAAAACCTAAGTATCTACTGTCTCTGCTAAAAGATCCACAAAGGGTTGCTTGAGGCTGATAGTAGATTCATAAATCTCTCCAGGGACGTTTTCCTCAAGGAGGTACACTGGTGTAAACATTAAGTAAACCAAAAACTATTTTTGCAATGTTAAATAAATGAGTTCATTACTAGAATGCGTGGGTTTTCTAAGCAAAGGGAAGGAAAGGATAGTATTAAGAGGTCAGACAATGGGTAATACAGAATTCAGCTTAAATTAAGTACTTTTTGTAAGGCCCAGGATGAATTGTTTACACTGCACACTAGGTGGTGTACTTGACTTGCGCTCTCAGAGCTTGAAGTCAGTCAAGAGGCATACTGAACTGAAGTCATTAATAGTTGTAAGAAGTCAAAGTACAGCCTCTTCATGAGAACAAAAAGAGTGATCGTTATTTATTATTAAAAAAAATACAGAGCCCCAAAAAATCACCACATTTAATCACTTGCGGTACCAGACACTTTAATGATAACTTGGTAAAGATTTTTAAAAAGACATTTTAAACATCCCTTATGAAATATTAATAAATCCTGAAAGTTTTTTATTATATTTGTTAGTTATACTTTTAGGACATTTGCAATATTAAATTAAGCAGTTCAGTAATAGACAGCATCTTCCTAAGGAAAAAAGATAAGCATGATGTGTCTGCTATTCTAAGAAATGGTGCGTGTAGTTTCCTCCTATTTTGTGGGAGAATGTTTGGAAGTTTGCACCATTTGCAGCGTGAGCTCTTGTGCCTTTCCACCACCATGCTGAGTAATCACTGTTTTTAAACAGCTGTGAATTAAAATTTTTGTTTCTTTTTGAGTGAATTCTTTCAAGCCCTCCTAACTTCAAATTCAAGTAAAAATTATAAAAGCTTATTTTCATTGTTTTCATTGGCAAGTCATCTCTCATATCTGTTATAATATGAACATAATACCTACACAACCTTATTTCCCCCAAACCTCCAACAATAAATTCTTACATTACCATTGTATTTGAGACTTAATTTAAAATTTCAGGTCGAGCTTGTAAATGTAGTCTGAATGAATGTGATGCATTGGGAGTTAGCTAGATGGCTCCAGATCATATTTCATATGCAAGTGTACAGGGATTGCTTAGATTGTGTTCTGTTGACACACTAAACCACAAAGATTACATCAGCTTCTCCTTTATAAGATTATCCGTCTTCCAGGGAGAACAGTGCTGCTCTGAAAGCACCTTAAATATAGCGATATACCTATACAAGGTACAAAATACACAAAGCAAGTGTTAATGTTTAATGGACAAAATGATAAACACCAACATCCCTTTAGCTTTTTCTTTACTCGTTCCTACCCCTTCTAGGGATTTTATCTTAGTATCCCATACCTTACCCAGATTGTGGGCTTTTATATGCCAGTTTGTTTTCTGGCCTTAGAAACATTATACACATGTAGTCATTTATTTTTCATATATTATAATGTACTTGCTGCACTCAGTTCATATTTCCTGTATACTTTTATATTTTGTATAAAAACATACACATAGCAGTATGGAACAATAGTAACATTAGAATCCAAAGTTTAAATTAAGCAAAAAGCCGGTGGTCACACAAAAGTATGAGACCTGGAGTCAGGATTTGTTACTTCTTCTTCTTGCCCTGCAGCTACTTGCTGTATAATTTCATCAGGTCAGTTAATGTGTCCAAGCTTGAGGCTTTCCTCTTGTGGCACTGGGCCCTTCAGCACTGCTGTCTCACGATAATGAGAGCAACATGCCAGGTTCTATGAACCTTCCAAACCCTTGTAGAAAGATCCAATGTGAATAGCTACTGCTGTGGTACTAGCACTGGGGAATGTGTTAGCTACTTTGAATTAAAACTTTTTTTGCAATTTGAGAATGAAGGACCGACTTCTGGGATGATGTATAATCTGTAGAAATCCACTGGATTCAGTGTAAACCAGGCAGAATTTCGGTTCCCAAATCATAATGCTTTTTCTGCACTATGTCTGATTTTAATCTAGGTTGGTAGGAACATTTTTAGTTTTATAATATTTGTATTGTCTTATGACTCCTACAAATTGATCTGGAAAAAGGAATAGAATGTAGTTACATGTAAAAGAAACATCACTATAAAGTGTACAATGCTATTTTTATTAATAAAAAAATTATATTTATCTAAAGGATCTATGACATTCAGCTTTAATCCATTCTCAGGAAAACATTAGAATGGGCTCAATTTATGTTGAACAAGTGGCAACTCATGCTTATAAAATTCATAAGAATAATAAAAATTGTAAGTCTAAAATAAATTCTAGAAGTTATTTAAGGATAAAATACCTCCAAAACCAATGGAAAGCTCTTTGTGGCCTTGAGAAACTGTGCATTATGTGTCAGCTCAGGGTTAGGTCACTTAATTTTCCCAACAAATTCTTGGTAGAATCTGTTCCACCATGTATTCTCCTTACACATGCCTTTATTTTCCCGTAGTGTTCATCTGTGTTTGGCATCTTCCCCTCTGTTGGATCTGCACAGGCAAATAAACGCCTGGTGGCAATGTCCAAATGACACAATGCACACAAGGTTAAAGATGATCAGCTACAGGAATAACTCTTTAAAGGACAGTGGGCACAGTCTTCACTTCGAGGAATCTCTAATTGAGGCAGTAAACCTTTCTGCAAAATCTGTTGTCATTTTGTCACAACTAAATAGACTTACTCTAGACATGGTGGGAAATTTTACAGTCCATACTGCATAGACCAACCCAAAATCTTGTAATTGCTTCTGTCAACTTCCAGATCAAGACATCTACACTAGCAATGATAAATGGATCAGCCAGTTCTGTATGAGTGCTAAATTCTGTACAAGGAAAGATGCTGCAGTACAGATGCTTCACTACAGATAAATGAACTACCAAATATACATTCATTTGCAATCTTCTTTCAAGGAACTTGGTATACCTTAACTGGATGGTCATTTCTTAAATATGCTTAGAAACTATCCAAAAGGCAGAACAGAGAAACAGATTCTCTGTAAACTTTGAATTAAGATTGCTTAGCAGTTTATTGATTATCTTCATGGTTGCCAAATGGGAATAGATAAAGGAAATATTAAATCTTCCTATTGTGAGCAGGACTTGATGCAGTTTCAAACATAAGTGTTCAGTCACAGTTCTCTAGACATTCTCATTTTTTTAAAATAATCTGCATCCCAGCCTACCTGTTGGAAAACTGACGTGCAGCACATTTTTTAATCTCTCTTGTTCTTCAGGTGTCGCTAGTTGTCAATGTTGCAAGTGAGTGTGGATATACAGATAGCCACTACAAGGCCTTACAACAGTTACAGAGAGACCTCGGCCCATACCATTTCAATGTGCTGGCATTCCCATGCAATCAGTTTGGGCAGCAAGAACCAGACACTAACAAAGAAATTGAGAGTTTTGCGCGAAAGACTTATGGTGCCTCCTTTCCTATGTTCAGCAAAATTGCAGTCAGCGGAGCCGGTGCAATTCCTGCCTTCAAGTACTTAATTGGTAAGTAATCTGGAACATTGGAGGTTTGTTTCCCCAGTGTAGAATTCCTCTGACATAAAATACCATCCGATAGAAAAAATGATATCTATGACTGCGTTCACAGAATCGAAGAGCAGAATTGTCAGGCTCAAAGAGGTCAGAACTCATGTAGTCCATCCTCCTGCACAAGGCAGGATTTCTCTCTGTCACCCATGATACCTTTGTCTAACCCTCTAAAAAGATCTCCAGGGATGAAGACACTATGATAACAAATGCCCTGTAAAAGCTAGACTAATAAACCTCTACATGGAATACAGGTCTTGAAAGATTCTCCTGTATGCATACAACACCTGATCTTCCTTTTTCCACTTTGCAGTCTCGTAAGTGCTTCTCCTGTGACACGGCTGCTGCAGGTTGGATTTTTAAGATTCAGTGCAAGAGCTGTAGGATAAGTGGAAGTAAAGCACCTACATAATTTACTTCAACAATCAAAAAGTGAAACGAGGCACTAAGAGATGTCCTTGAATAGTCTCTTCCTTATTCCTTGCCAAGCACTGGAACAGCCATCCTGTACAGATCCTCCAGTTCTAACCTCCATTATAGCTAGCACTGAGACCTGAAGAGGTTTTGCTGGTTCTTAGCACACAGCTAACAAAATACACTGCAAAGCAGGATATTCTCTGTCAAGGCACTACTTTATCAAGGCACTACTTTTCTTGCACTGAACAAAATCTCTAATTTTAATGCCACTTAAATGCCAAACTAAAATGTCGGTCTTTATCCAATGTGAAGGAAATGTCTTCCAGCAATGACATATAATAAAGCCCAGTATGACATGGTTATCACCTGAGCTGCATTCTGCAAGGACCATATCGCTGCTTCTCTCCAGCACCAGTGTTCTCCCACATACCACTGAATTTAAAGGAGCGTTGGTAGTATTATTTTTGGCTACCCCAAGCACACCTCCTTCCAGGCGTCTGTAATGCATCTTTCTGCTAGCCAAACTTCCCTTTAATCTTCTTCACATCCTTCCATTTCTGTTTTGCCCAGTGGGGTTGTTACTGCAGACACGTCACATGAAACTTTCAAAACTTCTGTTTCCCTGTTGGTCCACAGGCAAACGGAGGCTGCTGGAGGCAGTATATTTATGCAGCATGATGACAAGATAGTCAACAGTGTAGGTCTGGCTGTGTCTTCATGATACTTCAAAATATTTTCTGATTACTTTTGAGATTTTGCCCAATGTATAATCAATGGAAAGAGATGCTAATTTGTCTGTAGCATCTGTACTTGTGCTGTTAATGGGATGAGGATGCTGGTCTGATTGAAAAATCCTGAATATTTTGTTAGTCATGTAGCAGAAAAGTAAAGGATAAGAATGGGACTCATGTAAAATGAGTATGTGGTCATGGAAGGAGAAACTGTAGTAGATGAGGATTAGGGGGAAACTCCTGGAACAATTCACTTTGTTATTTCTTCAGGTACCACTTCTTGAAACATTCTTCTGAAGCATATGATACTGGGTGCTTTTGGAGGAAAAATTCTGGATAAGCAAGCAAATAATCAGTCCTGGTACAGCTATATTGTTATGCCAAATTCCATTTTCCTATCAATGCTCAACTGTTTCAGATTTACCTATACAGCACAGACACACACACACATGCATGCACACACTTTAACACCGATTATAGTGTTTTTCTTCTGTCTGTCTGTCTGTCTGTCTCAAGCTTGGCTGTTTCCATTAGTCTCCAGGGGTCTACTGTCTAGTTTAAGCTCCTTGTCAGGAAATTAATCAGTCTGAACTCCCTTTTAATTTTACATTCCTTCTTCTGAGGTAATGACCAAATTGACATGAACAAATGTCAGGAATTGGCTGATGTGGTTTTCTTTTCTAAGCTTCCT